CTCTGCTTCTGGTTCTTGTAATAATGCAAAATCTAGTTTCAAAGCCAGTGATTTACACTTCACTGGCAGAATGCAAACAGATTTCAGGAAAAGATTTATTCTGGCGAACCCGCATGAACTCTGACTCAAACTTAGTTTATTATTTGTATAGGATCACGCAGGGATCTGATCGGCTGTGGAACCTTCCAGAACCTCATTAGACTGTATGATGTTCAGAAGCTGTCAGCGGACGGTTCGAGGGAAACTACAAGCGAGCGACGGCTCCACACGCCAACGCCTTTCGGCTCTTCCCTGCTTCTCTCTCGCTCAGAGCGCTGGGGAAACACATCTCCCACGCTAGAGCCAGAACATCTCACTCACGTTCTCCCTCCACACATCTGGAGTCTATTAGAGGAAACCAGCGCGTTTCATCTGCTCTCCTACAGGCTTTTAAAACACTGAATTATGGGAGATTCCTGGCGGACTCGCACTCAGCCAATGAGCGAGCGGCGATGACCGGACTCTTATCTCACTCCTCTCGCTCGCTCCAGTACAGCAGATCAGGTTTCTCATGAGTGAGGAGGAAGCGTGAGCGATCACGCCGCATGCATCAGCTTTCCAGTGTCACGCAGTGAGAGCGAGAACAAATCAATGACATCTCAGCCAATCAGAATATATTGCATGTTTAAACTCAACGTCAAATGCAGTTTGCAACCCGTTATACTCGCATCGTGTCATGTGTGACACTTGTCATGGGATGCATTTACAAACGTAACTGGATATTTAATGAGAAAAAAAATGGGCAGGACTTGATTTTATTTATCAGTTTTGATTGGATGACTTGAGAAGAATTTAACATTTACTTAGTACATGTTTTGAATTTGGGTTATTATACTTAACTAAACCAATAAAAAATGTCACTTGAAATAAAATGAACATTAACCATAATAAAAAAGAAAAGAAAAAAACTTTCAGCTAGTTGCCAAGGCAACATTTCTTATTTTACTTTATTTTAACTAGATAAATATTGAGAACTAAAACTGAAATAAAAATGAACACAAATCTGCACAGATATATAAACAAAAACTGCTAAAAAGGACAAGAACAGAAAACACAATTACTAAAACTATAACTGAAAAAAATTAAAACGGATTCAAAATATTAATAAAAACTATAAAAGTATCTCAACAATACTAAAATAACATTGCTTTACATTTTCATAAGAAATCTTGAGGATCTTTGCAAAAAAAAAAAAGCTGGATAAGAGTAATATAAATATTTACAATAATTATGAAAGTTTAATAATCAGTTACACTAGCTTCAAAAGTTTGGGGTATGTAGGACTTTCTTTTAAAGAAATTACTACTTTTATTCAGCAAAGATACATTAGTTTGATCAAAAGTGACAGTAAAGACATTCATAATGTTACAAAAGATTTCTATTTCAAATAAATGCTGATCTTTTGAGGCTACTATTTATTCGTGAATCCTGAAAAATAAAATATATCACGGTTTCCACAAAAATATTGTGCAGCACAACTGTTTTCAACATTGATAATAATCAGAAATGTTTCTTGAGCAGCAAATCAGCATATTAGAATGATTTCTGAAGATCATGTGACACTGAAGACTGGAGTAATGATGCTGAAAATACAGCTGCAGATCACAGAAATAAATTACAGTTTAACAGATATTCACATAGAAACAGTTATTTTACATTTTAAAAATATTTCAAAATTTTTACTGTATTTTTGATCAAATAAATGCAGCCTTGGTGAGCAGAAGAGACTTCTTTCAAAAACATACTGACCACAAACCTTTGATCTTTTGGTAATGAGCAGTGATTTCTGGCTGTGTTTCTTACCTCTGACATGTTCACGCGTCCCTCCTGGAAGGAGCAGTCGTTGGCGTTCTGTGTGCACAAGTGTCTGTATTTACACCAGTGACACGGGAACGAGCCGTTCACACAGGACAAGCACCTGGAGAGATACAGAACAATACAGATGAGACACACAGAATCAAGCCAAAACACACATTACAGAGTCAGAAAGCACAGCGCTCCACACGCGTCCTTATTCTGCCCACGAAAGTGTGTGAAATAATAATAAAGATCCACTTTAGTAGGCGTCTCCGGTTTAAGAAAGAAAGTGAGCGATGACAAAAGAGAGAGAGAGAGAGGTCAAAAAGAGATGAGGATTTCCCATTAAAACACGAGAAGAGTAGATAAGAAAAAAGAGAGAAAGCAGAAATCTGTGCCAAAAAAAAATAGTGCACTGACTTGCTGCTTACAGTCTACATAGGCAGCTGCCTACTTAGGGAACATACCGACTAAAACACAACCTTTTAGACCACTACATATAAATGAAAACTCAAAATCCACACACAAGTATTAGTGAAACGGCTCATTTTTAATTAGATTGAAGCGTCTCTCACTGACTCTGAAAGCATCTGAGGCTTCTGACTGCAATACAAAGTCATTTGTTTCAATTATTCAGTATTAAGTCCAGCAGATTGTTCACTCAGTGACATTAATTGATGCTGTCCAATCAGAGTTGAGAAATGATTGTCTAATGAAATCTGGTATCTTAAAGAGAGCAGCATACCACAATGCTTTTAACGTCTATGAGGATTTAATTGTGTTATTAGATAAATCAGAAAATGTAAAAAATAATGTTAACAAAAAAAGTTAAAATATATCAATAAATATAAAAATTACTATTTTATTATTTTACTATTTTATTACTCTTTTATTAAAATTACTACTTTTATTATCAGATAAACCCGAAAATCATAATCGTAAAAACCGTATATATACATACATATGAGAGCGAGAATATATAAATATATAATATAAACAGTATATAATGTAACAATAGATTTTTAAAATGCATATCATTGTAATTTTTAGATTTTTTTTTTGCATTCAATAAATCTAAAAAATATAAAGCATAATATTGGTTAACAAAAAGTTCACTTCTTTTCTTTAAAACCCTAAATCATTCACAATAGCATGCGGTCTAATTTTATGAGCATTTTGAGTATTTTAACCAGCAGCGCTAAAGGATTCTGCTGCATAATTGTTGCACCTCTGAGTCCCGTGAGGAAACACAAGCACATGTGGTGGAGTGTGTGCGTTTGTGTGTTTGTGTAGGTAATGATCCCCCATCGAGGCGCCATTTGTCAGTTTGTTAATGCTGAGTCTCCAGAGACACATAATCTGCTAATCAGCATGAATAAATCCAGAGGATGGCCGTGATGGAGAACAAATGGATGCAGGTGAAACACACAACATGTCTGAGATATGCAAGTACATGCATAAACAGATAAAGACAGTAAAGACTGACTATCTGTAAATGCCACAATGCAATATTGCTTAGAGTAAGTCCATGAGGGACAGACGTTCATGTTTAACATGATGTACTGTTGTGTACTGGGTGTGGATTAGACTATAAAAGAAATTAGTTTTTTCTTGCACTCTTAAAACTGAACTCTTCAAATGTATGGAAGCTTATTAAATATGAATAAGGTAACTGTGGTTAAGGTAAACGCTTCCAAACAAACTCTGGTACGGTTGAATGGGTGAACTAATGAATGGATGACCTTAGCACACGTGTGGTTTTGGCTACAATTTCTGGTTCACTTGCAAAAAGGGCAGCGTGAAAGCAAACCACACCAAACAAAAAAAAATCTACATTGTATTCGGTCCGGACCAAAGTAAGTGAACTAGCGGACTTTCCTGGTGTGAATACACCCCAACTTATTCAGAATTGTGAGATATAAACTCACAATTCTGCAATTAACTGAAAAATAAACACGCAATTGTGAGAAAAGTCTTCATTGTGAGATATAAAATGATTATGAAGGAAGTCTGAATTATGATATATAAATTCGCAGTTGTGAGAAAAAAAGTTTTAATTATGAGATATGAAATCACAATTGTGAGAAAAAAATCTGAATTATGAGATATAAATTCTCAATCGTGAGAAAAAAAGTCTGAATTATGAGAAAGAATTGCGAGAAAAAAGTCTGAATTATGAGATCTGAAATCACAATTTTGAGAAAAAAAGTCTGAATTATTAGATACATTTGCAATTGTGAGAAAAAAGTCTGAATTGTGAGATATAAAGAATTACTAGAAAAATTTCTGAATTATGAGATGTATATTCATAATTGTGAGAAAAAAAAATCTGAATTATGAGATATAAAGAATTACTAGAAAAAGTCTGAATTATGATATAAATTCGCAACTGTGAGAAAAAGTCTGAATTGAGATATAAACCTGCAATTGTGAGAAAAAGTCTGAATTATGAGATACAAATTCTCAATTGTGAGAAAAAGTCTGAATTATGAGATACAAATTCTCAATTGTGAGAAAAAAGTCTGAATTATGGATATAAATTCGCAATTGCGAGAAAGTCTGAATTATAAAATATAAACCCGCAAACGTGAGAAAGTTATAAGAAACTCGTAATTGTGAATAAAAAAGTCTGAATTGTGAGATAAACTCACAATTATGAGAAACAAAATCTAAATTTTGAGATACAAACTCGCAATTGTGAGAAAAAACCCCTCTAAATTACAGTATAAGATATAAACTCACAATTGTGAGAGAGAAAAAAATTCTGAATTGTGAGATCAGGCCTTTCCAAAATATTTCCAGTGGATAATTTCCATAAAAATCTTCGGGTGTAAAATTCAGACCCAGGGCCTTAAAACAGCACTACATAATAAACAGACTGTCATCCATTCATCACTGGTTTACACTTTTAGCTTATTTCATCAAATCTGCCGTCTATCCTGACTGAGGTCCATTTGGTTCCAACTTGCGATTCTTTTTTGTATTTTCTTTCTCCTCCATGTTTTCCCTCAACCCATTACCAATTCAATTTAAACTACGCAATCCGGTGCACTTAAAGCAGAGATTTCTTAAAATAAGTGGTAAGAAGATAATAAATGTGACCTTATTTTTCTTCCTGACCCCTGCACCAATCCCGAGAGATGCTTTAATCCCCGTCCCGTCTGGAGTGGGGCTGATTGAGGGTGTCTCTGGTTTAAGCCCCTCACGCTGAGCTCTCTTCCCCCACAGACGGCCGGTGATTTCAGGGCGTCCCTGATCAGCGATCAGCATAAACCCCCACACGCGCTGGAGGAGCGGAAATCTAACACCGGGACGCTCATTTCCTTCACTCACATTCATTAAGATGCTGGGCTGTTCTAAAGCCTCCTACAAAAAGGACACCGAACACCTCCAATAGCCCTCATCACGGACAAACTCCATTTGGGTGAAACTCACAAAAAAGTGGCCAGCTCATATTTCTCCTCAAAAAGAAACGAGATAAGAAATTGTATTTTATATAAAGAAAATGAAGCATCCTTTTTTTAAACCATTAAGATGTTTTGCATTGCAATTTGATTGTTTTCATGAAAATTAGGCATTTTTTCCTAAATTCTCATTATCAATGCAAATTAAGCACAATTTTCCCAAATTCTCATTGTTATAATGCAAAATGTAACTTTTGAGTTTTGCATAGTTATTTTCAGTCTTTTTAAAAACTTTATTTGTAAGAAACAATGTAATTATTTGTCCAAAGACAATACTTTAAATAATTTAAATAATTATAATACTAATTTATATATGAAGAGTTTATTTGCAAAAACCGATAAACGCCACTTTAAAAAAAAATGAGCTGAGTGCCGTGCATTATTCTCCACATATAGCGCGATCTGAACCCTAAACATGTTTAGTCAAAAAAGCCAGTTTTGTCCACTTTCTTTGCATCGCGAGTTCACGTTTTACTGAAGAAGCCGACAAGCGCCCTTGCTGTTTGTGAACAGAAGCCGATAAATCCATTTTAGCGAATCAGCGCGCTGTATTCAGGTCAGGTGACAAGGCTACTTTCACTTTGAAAAGACGTGCTAGCTGAGAGGAGTTTCGTCAAAGCTGACTAAAAGTGATCGAGGATGGATAATTTCGACAAACTTGATGAACCTGTGATATCTTCTTCAGGGCGAAAGAGAAAAATAAAAGCTAAAACGTTTTCACGGAAGCTTGTAAAAGCAGCGCGTTACAATAGTGAGGGAAAAGCTCCGTGTATTGCGTGTAATCACATCCATACAGTTTATGATCACAACAACAACAACGTTTGTCAGGCATCAACATTGTCATCTGAGGAGATTACAAAGATTAAACGAGTGTTTTTTTAAACTCTAAAACATGAAATGTGGAGTTATCTCCTTTTGCCAAAAAACGACTGTTGGCGTTATCGGCTTTTGCTATAAAACAAACTTTTAATATGTAAAAAAACATTTTTACTTAAACAAATACTTAAACTGTATTTGTTTAAGTTAGTATTACTTAATCAAAACAACCCTACTGCAGTTTGATTGATATTACTTAGAATGCGCAATAAAAAAAACGTGATTTCTGGTTATCAGTTTTTGCAAATGAACTTTTCATATATATTTAATTATATTTAATATACACACCAGGACTGGAAATGGGGGGGGGGCGTTTTATTTCCAAATGGTTAGGTTTATTTGGAAATTAAAGTGATTTCTATATTTTATCCATTTAAAAGACTACGAAAGCGATCCCAGTTCTGCGCATAAACCTAGCGCGATATATTTGTGTCTATGGTTAGCTGCGCAATGCCGTCTTTTGTGATTGGTAATTTCGACAAACTTGATGAATCTGTGATATCTTCTTCAGGGCGAAAGAGAAAAATAAAAGCTAAAACGTTTTCACGGAAGCTTGTAAAAGCAGCGCGTTACAATAGTGAGGGAAAAGCTCCGTGTATTGCGTGTAATCACATCCATACAGTTTATGATCACAACAACAACAACGTTTGTCAGGCATCAACATTGTCATCTGAGGAGATTACAAAGATTAAACGAGTGTTTTTTTAAACTCTAAAACATGAAATGTGGAGTTATCTCCTTTTGCCAAAAAACGACTGTTGGCGTTATCGGCTTTTGCTAT